CTCTTTCATTTTTTATTTTAGTTATTTGCATCTTTCCTCTGACAATCTAGGTAAAGGTTTGTCGATTTGACCAATATTTCCAAAGAACCAACTTCTGGTTTTACTGATTCTCTCTATGATTTTTCTGTTTTTTTATTTTATTTATTTCTGTTCTGATCTCCATGGAGGCCTTCCTTATTGCTGTCAACGTCTCCCTGGTAGACTGTTGGCCATGAGTGCAGCCTCCACTCAAGACTCCTGTACACAACTTCTCAAGACTCCAACTACTCCTATTTTAAAAAAAGAAAAAGAAAAAGACTCAACTACTCCTCAAATGCTAAGGCTTCACCTTTGGCCCTTCTCTTCTCTTACTCTGATATCATATCCTCTCCATAGATGATATCTTCCAATTGCAGATCACAGATGACTTCCCAAACTCTTTATACACACAGGGTACAATTCTGTGTCAGATTTCGTCTCCAAATGCCAATCATATCTCTGCAACATGTCCTAAACTCAACTCATTATCTCTCCTCATCCCTCTCCGGTTAACAGCCATCCACCTAGTCACCAAAGCCACTAGGAGTCCTCTTAAACTCCTTTTTCTACCTCACCCAGGATGCACAATTCACCACCCAGTCCTGTAAATGACACCTCCTAAATATCTCTCTTAGTAAATATCTGTCTGCTTGGTAAAGCAGAGGGTCAGCAAACAAGGGGAAGACCCTCAGTGAGATGGACTGACACAGCAGCTGCAACCATGGGCTTGAACATAGCACCAACTGTGAGGATGGTACGGGGCCAGGCAGTGACTCGTTCTGTTGTACACAGAGTCACTATGGATTGCAACTGACTCTACGGCACCTAGCAACAACAGCAAATATCTTTCCTCTCCATCCCTATGACCAGAGGCCCAGCCCACCATAATCTCTTGTCCAGAATGTTATAATAGCCTCTTTACTAGCTTCTCTGCCTTCAGTGACCCCAATCCAATACATCGTCTGCACTGTTGGCAGAAAAGTTCTTTCTGAAGCATAAGTCTGAGCTTACAATTCTGCCACTTTCAGTGACTCTCACTACTCTCAGGTGAGTTTCAAATCCCTTAACAGGCTTCCAAGACCCTTCATGATCTACCCCCCTCTTACCTCTCCAGCTTCAGTTCTCATCACCTCACATGTTACAGCCCTGTTTTCAACCCTGACTACATATTAAAATTTTCTGGGAAGTTTTTAAAAAATACCAATGCCTGGGTCTCAGCCCCAGAAATTAGGATTTATATGATCAGGGATGACGTGCAAGCAATTGTATTTTTCCAAAGCTTCCCGGGTTATTCCAGATTGCAGCCAGAGGTGAGAGGCACTGCCCTTACCAAATGGAATGACTCAGAGTTCATAGCATCCATGTTCTCCCATGCCCCTGTGCCCATACATCCCTGCACCCACAACTCCCTCTCTCCTTGTTTCAAATGGATAACACCTACTTATCCCTTAAAACTTATCTGCACGGAACCTTCTTTAACCCTACATTCCCTGTCTGAGTTAGGAGCTTTCCTCTGAGTCCCACAGTCTTCTCTGCCTAATTTTATTAGACCACTTGTCACAGAGCTTTTATTAACTGTCAGCATCATGTCAAATAGGTAGTGACCATCATGGAGGGTGTATCTTTCATCACTATAGCAGGAGGGCCTAGTACAATGGGTCCCCTCCATTAGAGAGCTCAATATGTATTTGTTGAATGAATGGATGATTCCCATTTCCCTCTGTTCATGAGGGTAGGAACGTCCATCCCTTTCCCTAGACCAATGCCAATGCACACAGTAGGAGCTCAACAAATATTTGTGAATGAATTAATACAAGACATGAGACACTAGCCACCACCTTGTCTTCATTCTCACAGGAAAGCTCCGCGTAGCCGAAACAAATCAAATTGCGCTTCCTACAGTTTTGCTAAAATGGAATTTGCCAAAGACGTTCTGAAAAATGGATTTAATTAGGCCCGTTAATAGGGGAGTCCTTGGTGGCTAAGATTTAAAGCTGAGGCTGCGAAAGGTATTGATAATTTTACCATTTTAAATTATATAGGAGGTTATTTCTCACTCCTGCCTTAATGATAAGAATGCATCTCCATGAAATCTCAGCTTCGGAGGGAAATAAAGCCAAAGGTAGAGGCACGGTCTGATATTTCATTGAAATGAAGCACCTGAGCTGTCACGGCAAAAACAAAACTGGTTCAGCCCATGTGGACCCGACATGGGGGGGTGGAAACATGGTGGCACCACACAGAGGACCTCATTACAATAATGATTGTTGTTACACCCACGTGGCTTTTAATTGAGTCCAGGAAAGAGGAAGGTGAGGCAGTTTCTATTAATGGGATAAAAGTCCACATAGGTCTTCAGAGTCGCCCCAGGGATTTCTTGCGTCCCATTCTCTGATTAGCCAGTTTTAGAGATTCCACTTCTCGTTGGTTCCATAAGCAGATCCTGGAAGGGATACACCCTTACTCTTTACTTCACTGCTTTCAGAAATATTCAGCTGCCCACAGATTGACTCCAAGTAAAAGAAGTTGAAGGTTCTAGCTTTCTTCAGATAGAAGGAGCCTTGAATACCCATTGGGGGAGGCAGCCTCTCCTCTGGGACCCAGGAAATAAGCATTGAGCCCAATAGGTCCTCATGACCCATTGGACAATATTTGCAGATATTAATGCCACTAGGTGATAGGCATCATGCCAGGCACAGCTAGGACTAAGTTGGGGCAAGTGAGGTCCTTGCCTGATTTAAAGGAGGCGCCAATAAACTCAACAGTCAGGACAAGTAATGTTTTAGTACAGTATTTTGAAAAATCAGAATCAATACCCAAAAAAGAAATTCATGATAAAATATCAAAATTTTAACTAAAGACACTTGCAGGGCTCACTTCACTCTCCTCCCCTCATCCCAACCCTGGTTCACTGGGATACAGCCAGCAAACCCCTCCCTCTTGCAAATATGAAGTGGTGGTGGGGAGGGAGAGATAAACAATGAACAAGATAACGGATTAAAACACATAGGGATGGTGAAAAGGGTTATGGAGAGAAACAAAGCAGTGAATATGGGAACTCCATCCAAACCTCTTTCTACTACTTCCTACAGACTCTGGAGTTGGTGTCAGGGACAGGTCCCAATCCCACCACCCACTTGCACCCTATCTTTAGCCTCTCACCCTAGAAATATCTGGGGACTGGAAAGATACAGTCCACACTAACAATGACAGCCGTCACTATGTATGGAGCGCTGTGTAAACTCATGGTGTCTGTCTCCTTCTTTAAGCTTCATCACAATCCAGTGCATGATCCAGTGGTATCCTGACCACGTGACAAGCTGAGTCTCGGACAAGAATGGCTTGCCCACAGTCTCATGCCAATAAATAGAGAGAGTGAGTCTACGGGGTTCCTTTAGGCCCAACATCCCAGTCATAATGCTCTTCAACTCAAACTGAAGACAGATTCTGCCTCTCGAAGACCCTGAGCAAGTCTTTGATCTTTCTGAGCCTTGTTTTCCTCATCTGCAAAATGGGGAGAGTAAAGTGGCTCCCCCAGGGCAGGCAGGAAGGTAGGGTCTGGCAATGTAGCAGAAGCCTGGGAAAGTGAGTGCCTCCCCACCCCCTGCCCAGGGCTGCAGGACCAGTCTCCAAGGCAACAGAGCAGAATCAATGGGTTAAGTTCAAACGCAACCCATTTCCCATTTTCCTGACAGCCTATTTCATGGATCACAGAGGCCCAAGTACAGCTGCTTATTCAGTGGAGGAAAGAATGCATTCATTTTCATTCCTTAATACCCGATGTGACCTATTCTCCGTTGATCTCTGCTTTCCAAGGCGGCAGCCTTTCCTGTGGACTTTCCATTTGACCAGCGACAGAAACGTGCAGTAATGACAGAATGTCCTGCTCAAAGAATGCTGGGAGCCGAGTCACTGCCGTGCCAGTAATAAGTCCAAAGGAAAGATATCATGTCACCTCATTCGAATTAAACAGATGAGCCATCGTCCCCGACCACTAAAAATGAGCCAATCTGCTGGGCGGCAGCCACATGCTCCACAGAGCACCCCAAAAGTGGTCGGCTCCGGAGGGGTTTTATATCCTCATTTTCTGCCTATAATTCCTCCTCTTTGTGAATGCAGAGGAATAATCTGGTGAAAGGCCATGTGCTCTTCAGCAGTGGCAGCTTTCCACGGGCCTGCTGTGATAACTCAGGGCTGGCCAGCCACCTGCTCATTTACTGCTCACTGTGGGCAACAGGAGGCCCCGTTCTAATTAGGAAGCAGAGGGAGCTGCAGAGCAGAGGGCACCAGAGCCTACTGGGGGCTGGGGATGGCCAACTGCCCGCTGGAAGTGTTTTCTCCTCCTCTAGGAGTTTTGGGGTACTCGAAGGGGCAGCACTGGTTCCCTTTACAGATAGGGAAACCAACGCTGCAGGCTGGTGCACCTGCAGTCACAATGCAGAGCCCAGCACCCAGGTGAGACGTTTCCTGGGCCCTCCAGTCCTCCTTGGACCATGCTTCCACTCCCATCTCCTGGTGGCAGTTCTCTGATTGTCCAGTTCCTACCACTTTCCAACTTTGCCCTTCCATGAGACAAGTGGCCTCTCCCTCAGTACTGCCACCGACTAGCTGGCTGGCCCAGGCAAGTCCCTTCCTCTCTCTGAGACCCTCTCTCCCCACCTGTGACTGTAACTCATGATAGTTAAGACCTGGTATGAATGCCAAATCTACTGCTTACAAGTCATGTACTTTTAGGAAATTTCTTTCCATTCACTAAGCTCAGTTTCCTCGTCTGTAAGTTGGAGCTTAATAAAAAAGGGCTGCTCTTCAAAGGACCTCTGTCCCTAACACTCTATCCTTCCACCAGAACCCCATCCAGCATACATTTAATATCCATCTGACTTTAAGACCTAGCACTTGGAAAAGATATCACTCACTTTCTCATTTAATATACTTTAAAAAACAAACGAAGAAAACCAAATCTGTTGTTGTTGCTAGTCGCCATGGAATCAGACCCAATGCATGGTGACCCCATGTACAACAAAACGAAACGGTGCCTGGTTCTGTGGCAACTTCAGGACCATTGGTATACTCAAATCCATTGCTACAGCCACTGTGTATGCTGAGTGACTTCCAACCAAGGAGACTCATCTTCCAGCACCCTATCAGACTGCTGTGTTGTGTGATTCAAGGAGTCTTCATGGGACGATTTTCAGGAGACTGTCAGGCCTTTCTTCCCAGTCTCTCTTAGGCTGGAAGCTCCACTAGAACCTGTCCACCCCGGGTGACCCTGCTGGTATAGCATCCCTATGGCACCATAGCATTGTAGCAGCATGCAAGTCATCATAATGCAACACATTGGCAAGCTTGCCTTCCACTGACAAAAATCAGGCTTAATATCAAAACAAAATAATACTAGTAGTTAAACCTATGGAACTTTTCATGCATCAGGCACAGTTCTAAGTGCTTTGCATGTATTCATTCAACAAAACTTTATGTGCAGCTCAAGTTAAGCTTCACTTCTGTAGACTATTCCATTGAAAAACAGCATAACTTATTTACCTGTTCTATTGATGCACATTTGGGTTGTGTCTCCTTCATGTGGAGCACTTGCAATCTGCCAGAGCACTTTCAAGTCACTGGGGATGCCACAGCAGCAAAACACACACTCCTAACCTCACGTATATTAATAGTCAACATGTACTAGCCCCCTTTTACAGAGGAGGAAAGTGAGACTGAGAGAGTTTGGATAACGGGCCTGGGTTGAACTATACATATGAGCACAAATGAATCTTACAAATATATGCTGAACCTGAAAGCAAGTTGGAGGATAGTGAACAATGCCATTTATGTCAAGATAAATAGCACACAGAGTCTCCTGTTGGTTTAGGGATAGATCCTTTCGCACTTCATCTCAGTGCATGCAAGGTTTCCCTGCTTGCAGCTCTGGGTGTAGATAGACGACGTTTGCCTTTGGCATGTGGGACACAGCACGGGGACAGGAGGTCAGGGGGCAGTCCTGGAAAGTAGGCTCTACCTTGGAGGAAAGACCTGGCCCCACCTCTGGGCACTTCCCCTCCACACCGCTCAGTGCAGCAGGGGCAGCCAGGGCATCCGAGTGGGTCCTGTCCCTGTGCCAAGGCCCAGCTGTGAAGGATGGACAGCCATGTGATACAGCTGCCTGCCACAGCCTGTTCTAGGGCTGTCATCTGGGCCTGCCCCAGAGCCACACACCATGTCCACATGCAACCTCCACATGCCACCAGGTCACCCTGGGTGCCAGCAGGCCTCAGCACAGAAACCTACTTTTCGTATGTGTGCCACTATGTCATTTTGGTTCTTATATAATAAATTTATTAACTTCCCCCCAAAAAAATTGTATGCTTTTCAAACTCAGGACTGTGATGGGGAGATGTGTAAAGGGCCTTTGGGTCTATCAGTAACATTTTATATATTGAACTGACGATGACTACATTCATGTTCACTAACCAGAAGACTGGAGGTTCAAACTCACCAGCCACTCTTTGGAAGGAAGGTTGGGCAATCTACTTCCATAGTGGTACCACCTCAGAAACCCAAGGAGGGGTCGCTATGAGTCAGGTCTGACTCGACGGCACATAACAACAACAACATGCCTTAAATAAGAAAAGAGTGGGAGAGTAGAGAGAATCATGTGTCTGTGAGAAGAACTGCCTGGACAGATGGCCTCTCCAGGCCATAACTGAGCTAGTCCTCTTTGTCTGGCGCCCTGGAGAACTCAGATCCACCCTAGAGTCCACCTTGTTCTCACCACAATGCCACAAATGTCCTGAGTAGGATGGTGCCCAATGCTCTCAGAAATAGCATTCTTCACCCCCATGACAAGCCCTGCTTGCCGCCCAGTCCTGCAGTTGGGGGCTTCAGGGCAGTCAGAGCTCTCTGAACCTATGCTAGTTGCCAAAACTTTCTACTCCTTGCTTATCCTGTAAAATGGGAATTCCATTAATAAGCACTGCACACCAGCCACTCCTCGAAAGGAAGATGGGGCAATCTACTTCCGTAGTGATACCGCCTCGGAAACCCAAGGAGGGGTCACTATGAGTCGGGTCCGACTCGACGGCACATGACAACAACAACAACACAACTATTACAAGGAGTGAGGGAGGCACTGCACACCAGTGTTTGGCACAGTGCTGACAGGAGCAGGTCCTCCAGAAACAGTCATTCTGGGCTTCACCTCTGGGTCAGGCACCCTGAGATCCAGTCCCGCCATGTGCTGACCCAGCACTACGGGCCCTGTCTTCTTAGTGAAGCATTCACCACACTGCACAGTAGCACACAGTAGGCACTCAGGGACTCTCCAAAACGAATGAATTAGTGTCGTTGCCCAGACTGGTGGGCCCCCGGGGTTTGAAAAAGGCACCTGTGGGAGGACAGCAGGGGATGCTGTCTCGTAGCTTGGCCTGTGTGGAAAACCCCAAGTGGGCAACACTGAGAGCAAAGGGGTTTTGTGGTTCACACATATTTATATATGTTTAAAGCAGCAGGTTCAAGTGAGAGTCAGGCAGTGATGCCCAATAGAGGTGGACTCTATCCTGGGTACTTCCATTCAACCCTCACATCATCCCTTAGAGGAATGCCATTATCAGTGGTGTTACTCCATTTCCCATGTTGAGAAGCTGAGGTTCAGAGGGTTCAAGTTGATCATGCAGTGTTACTCGGGTGGTGGGGACAGGATTTAAATCCCAGCATGCCCTGCGTTTGGCGAGTGCCCCAAGATGGAGGACAGAGGCAATATTTCTCAAGAACTATGCTATCCAAAGGAGTGCTCCTTTATTCTCAGCATTTCTATCCTGTCGGCCTCCTTCATGGCTACCCCTGTGAGTACAGCTCATTTATTTATTCCCAATAAATGTTTGTGGAGCCCCTGATCTGATCCCCACAACTCTTTGTGGTACCATTAATCACAGCTCCAAAGGTCACATAGGAAGGAAGTGGGGAAGCTGAGGCTTGAACCCAACTTGGACTTCTTAGCCACTGGGCTCTGACCCTCCTCTCGCTCACTAAGGTGTGCACAACTCCATGTGGACAGGTGGGGCGGGATGGGGTGGGGCATTACACAAATACCATATGCGCCAAGAAGAGGGCCATGCCATATCTAGAAGGCCATTTGGCCTCTGGCTCTGAGGTTCTTGAACCCAACAGCTGGCCCTTGATCCCTCTCTGTCTTACCACTACATTCAGTCCTTCTGCAAATCCTAACATTCTTCCTTCAAAATATATCCAGAATCCAATCACACCTTCCCATTCCCATGGCTACTCTTGTGGTCCAAGCCATCCCATCTCTTG